AAAATATTTGTTTTTGTTAACAGGGTAGGCCATGGATTCTGATATTAAACCCTAGTTTCATGAATTCTCTTTTAATTTATCTCTAACTCCTACTCTTTCTTCATCCCCGTGATATTTTGCATTTTAGAAAATCTTTGTTTTTGTTTTTTATGAGATCAATGATATTTTAAAGTTTTTTATTTTCGACTTGATGAAATTCATCAAATTCGTATTTATAAAAATAAAAAATGTTTAAGTTTTACTAGCTTAATCTGCCTGAAATAGTTATGGTGTTCTTACGTTGATCATATATTATGCATTATGTAACCTATGAATTTAGTATGCATGTCAATTGACTATACAATGCAGATGCTAAAGCGATAAGATGCAGTAACTTCTAAATTGAAAATGAGAGCTCATCTGACTAAAGTCAATATACAACTTCTAAAATGCACAAGTCATAATGATAATAAAATGCAACATGCATATGAGCTCCTAAAATACAGATGTCACAAAGTTAAGATGCAGTATGAACTTTTAAAGTCCACATAACTTTCGAATAGAGTGCAATACAAAAACTTTCAAAATGCACATGTTATAATGATAAAATGCAAGATATGAACTACTATAATGCAGTATTGACATATTTATGACTATATAGTTCTAATATAAGTTATGAAGATGTTATAAATATATAATGTGACATGTATCTCTTATATTATGTATTTCTACTAATAATACGATTTAAAACATGTTCTCTAATATTATGCATAATGTGACACCATGAAATTCATATGCATGTCAATTGAGTATACAATGCAAATGTTATAATGATAAGATGCAGCAAATTGTCTTCTACGATGCACATGAAGTTGTACTTCTAAAATGCAATACATGAACTTGTAAAATGCGCGTAATGATAAAATGTGTGCAACATATAAAGTATTAAAATGCAGATGCCATAACGGAAAGATGTAGTATGAACTTCCAAAGTGCACATATCATCATACTAAAATGTAATATAAAAACTCATAAAATGCACATGCTATAGTGATAAGACGCAACATATGAAACACTAAAATGTAACGTCGGTGTATTTTAGCACTATGTAGTTCTATCTATTATAAGTTATGGAGACATTATAAATATGAAATGCATATCCCGTCACCTTAATATGCACACCCCCTAACCTTAATATGCATATCTCATAACCAAAATATGCACCGTAACCTTAATATGCAAAGACTTCTACAAGTGTTTACTTCTTCATTCCGATAGCTCTCCAACTTACCTTATATAAGTTTCGAAAATTTCAAAGCTAATTATGGAGCATCTGAATTCGTAAATCAAGAGATTAATTTTATAAATTATATCACATGTTCTTGTAGTGAAGCCATTATTTAAATTGATAATGCAACCTTCTTTGTTGGACAAAATCTCACCTTAATATGTATATAGATATTCAACTTGCTCCTGCAATTGTTACTAATCACACGAACCTTTTTTAATTTGCTAAAAATGGAGGTGTAAATATTAGTAGTGGGTTACTTTAATTGATTGGATGTCGGTAGTGGGTTACATTAATTAGTGGTAAATATTACTGGTGATTTGTTTACGTGGTCTTTCCATATCAATGTTGCAGTTCCGTTTTTAAAATGTCAAATGACATCGATAACCTTCCCACTAACCGCTGTAATTTAATAGCCCATACGATTTACATTCTCTACATCTCAACACACGCTTCATTGTCATGGATGGTGTTTATCCGCTCTTGATTCTACATATTTGAACGGGTGTGATGAGTTTGTAGGTTAGCACTGGAAGCTTGGTTTGCATGGGATCTCCCCCTATATATATATATATATATATATATATATATATATATATATATATATAATCGAAGAGGGTTTAAATTACTATAAAAGCATTCAGCAAGGGTACAAGATAACAAAAAGATCACATGTAACCATCTGCCCTTGGCCGAGACTCTGAGTTAATCACCTTTGACAAAGCAATATAACTCGCTAGACTTAACTTGGGCAACTTAAAGCCAATGACGATTACCGCAGACCTCTCATTCCCCAAACCTAATACAAGAGTCTTAAAATAAAGGGAAAAATAACAGTAAACCAGAACAGTCTGACCATTGAAAGAAAAATGAAAGCAAACAAGTAATAAAAAAACCAGTCTTCGTCTTCCAGAGCCTAGTTTCCAACTTTATTACCGGCAGGTCTAGGAAGATTGACCCGCCGCCTCCCCATTTTTTGGCCTGTCCAGTGCCATGCCCTCTCCAGTTGCATCTTCTCTGACCTGGTCTTCCCAAATTCTCCAGCGTTTTGTCTAACTGGGCGCCTCCTCCTTATCATCCTTCCCACCCTGCTGGGATACACTTGCACCTGTCTCTGCGGAGTATTCTCTCCCGAGATCAGTCTTCCGCTTTTGCCCAAATCCCCCGGAGCTCGAGGAGTCATTCACTAGCCACTTATTAGTCCCTATGGGACTATTCTTCACCCCACCTCCAGCCCTAAGCTCCACCCCAAAGGATTTATCTACCACAAAACCCTCTTCGTACTTCAAGGGACAGAATTTGTCTGAATGCCCAATTACCCCACACATGAAGCAGAAATTAGGTAGTTTTAATTTTCATATTTAAAATCTACCCTATGTCCCACCCCTTCCTTCGTTAGAGTAGTACCTTTTTAGGGGTTTTCACACATCCACACAAACTCGTAAACGCAGCAGGTATGATTTCTGGTTGTCTTCAAACTGACTCTTATCAAACCTAATGAAAGTACCCAAAAAGTTCCCAATTCTCCTGGCAGAAGTCAAGTTTCTAAATTTATAGGGAACATTGTGAACCTGTACCCAAAATGCAGCCTCATACAAATTCATATTTTCAGGTATATCATCTGACTGAACAACTTTCAAAAGAACTAAGTCTTTCAAAAAACCAAGGTCCATCTTCAAGTACACGATTCATATCCAACACATGATTAGATTCAAAAATGCAACTTTTATCTGGCTGAACAACTTTCAAAAGAACTAAGTCTCTTTCAAACAACCAAGGTACACCTCTTCCTGGCCTCCATATTGAAGTCAGCAGCTCCTCAAGCCCCGGAAGTTTAACCTTCCAATCCGTGACCACAACCCCCACCACTTGGAACACCGTTTGTTCATCGACCGCCTCCAAGTCCCCCGTATCCTCATCATCAAAATTGACTTCATTGTTCTTCTCACCAATAACCATCTTCTTGTAGTTATTAACGATATCCTCCATCTACCGAATGTTTCGCGTTGCAGACCTCTCATTGCCCCTTCTTTCTCGACCGGCGCCTGCACTGCTCCTAAAGAATGACAAGCCCCGCCTCGCTGGAAAACCTGCAGCAAAGCACCGCATGACCCCCTAACTTGCTCGCCAAAATCAAGTCGATCCTCGTCCACGACGAAATCGGAAAAAGCCCCCAGCGGGGCAATGCCCTAGAGAGAGAACTTAATAACGTAGCTTAAAATAAATTGAATTTTTCGACCTGAATGGTATACGTATTTATTAATAAAATAAAAATGAAAATAAAATTAAATGGAATAAAAGTTAAAAGAAGACGTGTTCAACAACCTCAACCAATATAACATGAAAAATAATGTCAACCTTATTTATTTTTATTATTACATAATTCAGTACGCGAAATTTAAAATAACGGGATTGGTAAAAAAGTCGGTTGGCCAGCAAAGCTGAGAAGTCGAAAATATGTGATACCAAACGGGCTTTTAGTAATGCACTTGTTAATTACTTTTCTTTTTATTGCTAGTTTTCATTCCATTTTTCCTATTTATTCTGACTCATTTTTTGCGCAAAGTATATTGTACACCTAATTGTAGTTTAACATTAGTATGTATATAGTTTTTCTCAACTTTGAGCTTGTATCTATTGTCTGTTTTAGTTGTACAATCCTTGCTTCTACTCCCATTTAGATCATCACGACATCACATACTTATGAATAAATTGATTTGTAATAATATATAATGTGTATGGTGTATAAAAACAAAATGTATGATATACTTAAATGAGTATAATTTTTGAAAGAAATGACACTGTGAAAATATAACAGTAAACTTTTTAAATAAAATTTTTGTTTTATCATTATAAGAATTACTAATAATTGAGTAAGTAAACCTCTATTATCTATTAATATAAAGTTGGTTTTAATGATTGAAATGACTTTTGTTTTACGCAAGTGAGTACTCTATAATATTTAAAAGTAATTCGATCGGTTTTAAGAAAAGTGAAATTGTGTGGATGATATGAAATTATTAAAGTATAAATAAAGTAATAATGAGTTATAGTCTTCCAAATTTTTCCAAATATGCTATGAAACAAAGTTAATACGGAGTAGGATGGATGAAAATGATAAAATGAGATAAAAATAGGGGGACAAAGAGAGTAACATTTTAAAATGAGCACTTTGCAAGTGCCAATTGCCGAAAAGGCATGTAATAGTAATACTTATTAAATAAAAAGTTTTATTTAAGACATTTTAAACTTATAGAGTAGTAGGTCATATTTGTTGAAAAAAGAGTATGTTTTGGTAGATTTCGGTAAATCTGACTTGATTTTATCTGTCAAAAGGTTTGATATTTAAAGCCCGTTTGGTAATATCCAAATCGGTTGTGTTAGTTAATTATGCTGAAATTTATGAAACTTTGGCTGAAGTGATTGGATTGACTGAATTTGCGAATTCATGAAAAAAATAATTTTTAAAATATATTTTATTAATAAAATAAAGAGAAAATAATTTGAAAAAACAACTAAAATGATATCTACAACAACTTCAGTTAATATAATAAAAAAAGTAACTCAAATTTTACTTTTTCTAATTATTACACAACTCAGCGCATGAAACCAAAAGTTACATACTACGGTGAAAAAATTGATTGATAAATGATGTAAGCCGAAAAACAGGTGACCAAACGTGGTCTTATATTTTAGTCCTGTTGGCTATATTTAATATTCCCTATGTAACAGGGAAACTTTTCAGCTCTTTCACGAAGGCTATTCCTTCCTCCTCGTCTTTAATGAAATCCTGAACAAGCTTTCTCTCTCCCTTTCTTGGATTTCTCTCTCTAAAATCCTCTGATCAGATTCGCGAACTCCACCGAATATTTATAACGATGTATGTATATTAGCATTCGATCAATTATGGCAAAACATTTTTCTTCTATTGCTGAGTTGATGAGCCCCCCAGAGTTTCTGTTCTATTGATTTCCGTGTGTGTTGAGCCTCAAACCCTAATTTTCATCATCATAAGGGATTTTTTTAATTCTTCTGTTACTTCTATTCTTCCTATATACTCAGTATCTTATGCTTGCCAGGCTTCCATTTTTTTTCATTTTTCTCCACCCAAAAATTTAATATCTCGTGAACTGGAGGGTCTTTGTCAGTCTATTGGGCTAGTCTTTCTCATTGGATTGAGATTTTGGTAAGTATTTATGTAGAGGTTTCGTTGCTCATCAATCATCATCAGTAATTCAGTAGGGTATAAGTGTCGTTTAATTTCATAACTGAAAATTGAAGTTATCCTCTTGCCTTTTTTTCCAATTAAAAAGGCTAAATGCAAATGTCTGTAATCTGTAATAATAAGAATAATACCTATGATAATAACTTAAAAAGGTTTTCTTAAGTTATCTCGTCCGTTTTCCTACTCTCCAAATTGTTTGAGTCATATGTAAGCCGCTTTTATACAAAAAAAGAATAATACCTATGATTATTATTATTATTACGGTATTATTATCAACTTTTAAGATTTTCAATTTTTAAAAATGATTTCAACAGCTAAAAGTTTTTTCAGTAGCTGGGGTGCTCTTAATGATCGCACTCTTAGCTCATATAGTCATATACGTTTGGGGTTTGAGTTTTCTAGTTTTGTCTTTCCACTTCATACACTTCAGAAAAGAGAAACCGCCTGATTGGAGCATGTTATGTGATGAAAGCAGAATTATTGATTGCTTAGTTCACTTGTATTGATTGTTAAGACCCATATGCTAATAATGTCCATACTGATTATTAGTATGCAGATTAGACGAAGAGGTGTTCATTTCCTGTTAGATGTAAAATAATGGATAATTCTGAGGTTGAAATGAATTTGTGCTCGATTGGTGAACCTAAGGTATGCACTGACTGCTGTATACACGTTTGCTTCCAGAGAACCGTTTTCTGTATTATGAAAAAACAGAAAATTAGGGGGTGTTTGGATCTACTTCTTAAAATTGCTTCTACTCCTTCGGGAAGCGGAAAGAGATATTGGAGTGTTTGGGTGAAACTGCAGAAGTAATGGGTGCTCCAAACACCCCCTTAATAAAACAAAAACAAAGGCCACCCTTCTTTTCCCCTATATTTTCCTTCCCACTTCCCCCAGTATTTATTCCATCTTTTTTCTCCGGCGTTTTCCATAATAATGATAGCATTTACTACTGCAGCTACATGGAGGAATGTGCAAAGTACTATCTGATGTATATGCCAAAGTGTTGGCCATATTTCCTGATCTGGAAGCAGCTCGACCAAGGAGCACTTCAGGCATTCAGGCACTGTGTTCTCTGCACATAGCCCTTGAGAAGACAAAGAACATTCTTCAGCACTGTGCTGATTGCAGTAAACTTTACCTGGTGTGTAACTTTTTTTGTTCATTGCATCTATTTGGACTTTTGATTAAGAGATTGTTTGAAATCCAGAAAATACTAGGAGGAATGGCAAGGAAAACAGAGAGAAAATTAGAATGAACCAAATGTGTGGGTGGGTGTAATAGATAAACTTAAACTCAATTAAAACCGAGCATTAGAAAATAACTATCCTTAGCACTTCATTTATCCCTTGCATTTTCCATGATCCAATCATGCCCTTGTCCTTAAAAGTAGTTCTGTCATCTGATGCAATGGAGATTGTTTTTCACACTTGATCAGGCAATAACAGGAGATTCTGTTGTTCTTAAATTTGGGAGGGCAAGATGTGCTCTTCAAGATGGTCTACGTCGGGTTGAAGATATAGTTCCACAAACCATTGGTTGTCAGGTAATATTCGCCGTTGGTTTTTTTAGCTCACTTCCTAGAATATGGCTTTGACAAATGATTTTTAATGTAATGTTTTCTGATAAAAGAAAACAAATTCATTACCTGTTCCACAAAAAAATCTCGTTTCAATTTTTCCGTCAGAAGTTCGGTTTTCAAAGGCAACTTTAATTTTTAGCAAATAACAGTAATGCCAAAGAGCAAGCAGTTGTAGTCAATTTCTTCAAGCAATCTAAAAAATAAGTTTTAGGAGTATATGTGACTATCCGTAACATGTAAAAGCTTATACTTTTGAGTAAAAAAGTTGTATCTTACTCAAACAAGACCATTTTTTGGGACGGAGGGTATAACATTGGGCAGTCTTGTGCGTTGTGTCATTACTCGTTTATCATTGTTTAAGGGCCAATAATTACTAGGCACCATTTGTTGCCATTTTGCATGCTTTTTAGTGCTCAAGTTCTGCATATTTTTTAAGCATCAATCATATATCTTGTTTCAGATTTCTATAATTCTTGGTGAACTTGAGGACATTGAGTTCTCAATTGATCCGATGGAGAAACAAATTGGTGATGACATCATTGGATTACTTCAGCAAGGACGGAAATTCAACAACAAAGATAATGACAACAGTGAACTCGAGACTTTTCATAAGTCTGCTTCTAGACTAGGTATTACCTCTTCACGTGCATCTCTTAGAGAAAGAAGAGCTTTGAGAAAACTAATAAAAAGGGCACAGTCAGAAGAAGACAAAAGAAAAGAGTCAATTGTAGCTTACCTTTTGTACTTACTAAGCAAATATTCCAAATTGTTTAGAAGTGAACTCTCAGATGAAAATGATTCACAATGTTCAACCCCATGTTCTCCAAACATCCAGGAATCTCTAGACAGCCATAATCATTCCTTTGACAACCCACATCTTTCAAAGCCGAGTTCTTTTAATTTTAAACCAAACTTTGGGAGGTCAGACCAGAATCCTGTCCCACCTGAAGAGTTAAGATGTCCAATCTCATTGCAGCTAATGTATGACCCAGTGATCATTGCTTCTGGGCAAACATATGAACGGATTTGTATTGAGAAGTGGTTTGACGACGGGCACAAGACGTGCCCTAAAAGTCAACAGGAGCTTCCTCATCTTGGATTGACGTGCAATTATTGCGTAAAAGGTCTGGTTGCTAGTTGGTGCGAACAGAACGGGGTTCCTATTCCCGATGGCCCCCCAGAGTCTCTTGACCTCAATTACTGGAGACTGGCACTCTCCCAAAGTGAATCTGCAACTTCCATTTCCGTTGAAAGCATCGAGTCCTGCAAGTCAAAGGTCAATAAAGAGAGTGAAAGTCAGAGTAGTGCTGTTGAAAGATGTGATGCAATTCTGGAAACTTTAGAACAAGAGGTTAATTTAAGAAAGAAGTGTGAAGTTGTTGAACAGATACGGACTCTGGTGAAGGATGATGAAGAAGTCAGAATGTATATGGGGGCAAATGGTTTTCTTGAGGCTTTGATGCTGTTTTTGGAGTCTGCTGTTGAAGCTAGGGATGAAATGGCTCAGGAAATTGGCGCTATGGCTCTCTTCAACCTAGGCGTTGATAATAATAGGTACTCTCTTTTTCCTATTAATTAATGTGCTCCTTATTAAGTATTCATCTGTTCAAGCTCACTCCTTGTCATCTGCTTATTTTAGGTGCTACTTTTTACCATTTTCATTTTTATGAAAATTTTAGGATCCATTTAATTTCATGAAAATATCTTGGTTTTCGGATTTTCTGGTCTTGGCACGTAAAAGATTCTTTTGGGAATATGTCTTCCTAAATTTATTGATATTTTTAACAGTCCTTTTGGTGGACCAGTATTTTCTTTTCGGATTCTGTGCTATATTATTGATTATTCTACCTCCATCCTAAAAAAGATGCAGGTTTGGCCAAGGTAAAACCTTTAAAATTTAATAAGGTACAGCTGCTATACTTCAATTAATCATACTTGTATTTTTTAAATATATTATGGGTTAAGCTAAACTTATCCTACACGCAACTTGCTTTTTACCTAAAAATTTGTCACAAGATATTACTTTGGATAAAAAATGTTGGAAACACGACTTTTCTTTGAACAGATGGAAGTATCATACTTAGAAGAACAACTTATTTCCATAAAAAAATCATGGAAAACAATTTTCTAGGAGAACACTTCCCCGAGAAAAATCATTTATATGCAATCAAAGGATCTTAGAGGCTTTGATGGTGAAAACTGTCCTTAGATGAGATCTCAGCTTCCAAAGGGATGCTTTCATTTTCTTCTTTTTGATGTCTTTGTTTTGTGAAGAGCTCCACGTGATTATAAATGATGGTTATGTACACTTGATTTGTAGAAACAAGGGGATAATGTTGGCAGCTGGAGTACTTCCATTATTGGAAAAAATGATTGCTTCTAATTCTTCCACCTCTATTCCTGCATCAACAGCCCTTTACCTCAACCTTTCCTGCCATGAAGAAGTCAAACCTGTCATCGGAACCAATGATTTCGCCGTGCCCTTCTTAATCAGGGTCCTTAATCAGCACTCTTCCAACCCCACCCAATGCCAGCTAGACGCTCTTCACGCCCTCTTTAATCTTTCCACCAACCCAACTAACATACCACACCTCATGTCATCCAGGATTATTGACAGTCTTTTGCCTATGATGTCACGCTCCGGTGACCTGGTAGTAAAATGTGTGGCGATAATTACCAACTTGGCCTCAAGTAAGACTGCTACAGATGAAATTATCTCAAAGCCAGGTCTTATCAGCCGGCTCTCATCTGTACTGGACTTGGGTGGGCCCACAGAACAGGAACAAGCTGCAGCATGTCTTGTGATGCTATGTAATAGGAATGAGAAGTGCAGTGAGATGGTCCTACAAGAAGGGGTGGTGCCTTCCTTGGTGTCGATGTCAGTGAATGGAACGGGTAGGGGTAAACAGAAGGCAAAGAAGCTTTTGATGCTGTTTCGTGAACAGAGACACAGACAGAAAGAACCCTCTTGGGAGGGTATGAGTCCACAGTCTTCGCTGCCTGAGAGCATTGATCTGGGGAACAAGCCTGTTGATGATGGTGTAAAACCACTATTTAAGTCTACCTCAAAAAGAAAACTAGGGAAAGCTCTGAGTTCTTTGTGGAAGAACAAATCTTTTTCAGTATACCAGTGTTAGATGATTTAGCCTGCAAATCTGTCTTTTGAACATGTCGGCTTAGTTCGTCATCGGACTCTCCGTCTAGTGCATTTCAGAATAGAGATGTATATATCTCTTTTTTACATATACTTTCCTAGTATCCTGGCACAAGGGCATATATATATATATATATATATATATATATATATATATATATATATATATATATATATATATATATATATATTTATTATAATGATATGTATCTACAAGGGAAAGAGATGTAAAGTTGTAAAATACTACATCCGTCCCATAATATTGTATTTGTCATTTGTTTTTTTCCGTTATATTTTAGGTACAAAAATGTGTGATTCAGTGATTGTGGTTTTATTTTAAAGTTAGAATCAATACAAATTACACAATTGTAGATAATAATAAAAACTGCAATTTTTTTAACAGTTGCCAGTTGGACGACCAAAGCCTTGCATAATATTCAAAGGATTACAAAAGTATATCATTCTTGAAGAATTGTTGTATTGATTTTTTTGTATCTATGTTTGTACATCCATTCACATCCAAATATTGTGCAAGAGCATCTCTAATGGTCTAATACACGCATATGGTATTTTTATAGGATTTAGCTCCTGTGTCAATATTAGAACATAGAAGTTGGGAGAATACGACTATTTTTTTAAGAATAAAAACGAACGGAGGTATGAAGCCAAATGAAAAGAGAAAAGATGGGAATAAATACTTAAATTGGAGTTTAATGGGAGAACTATCAAATAAGCTCTTGAACTTACATAAAAAGTACCTCTTATATAGGAGGCTTTATCCCGCTGTCACCATTTGGGGTGCTTCCCGGTGGAATTTTTTGATGAATTTTTTTGAGAATATTATTCATTAGTTCTAGTTTACTCATACTAAATTTCAGCTAAAAATTCAATCGGGAAGGCAGTCAAATGAATTTTTGAAGATAACTGCGCAGTTAAACAACGCAGTATATTTCAGAAAATCATTTGACTGCCTTCCTGGTTGAATTTTTAGCTGAAATTTGGTATAAGTAAACTAGACTTAATGATTACGATGCTCACAAAGTTTCATCAAATAATTCCATCGCGAACCGCCCCAAATGTCGACGGCCGGACATGACCTCCTATATAAGGGGTGATTATAAACTACTCCCTCTGTCCCCGAAAGAAGTTCTCACTTTCCTTATTTGGATGTCCCTAATTTAAGTTCTCATTTCCTTAAATGGAAAGTTATCTCCATCAAAACAGTGTCAAACAGTGCAAAACAGTGCCAAACAGTGTCAAAACAGTAAAATTTACCCATTGGTAAGTTTACTTGCATAAAAGTGTGTGAAAGTCAAATGGGGAACTTCTTTCGAGGACGGAGGGAGTACCTATTTATAATCGCAAATTATATCATGGAATCGGCCCATCGTGCGCACGGTGTGCCGATCCCAAAAACGGTACCGTTTTTGTTAATAAAATACATAAATCCTCCTCCGTTCTACGCATGGACTCAACCGGGTCCGGTCCCGGGTCGGGCCTAGGCCTGGCCGGGCCAAAAAAAAAATGAGTGAGGCCCGGGACCGGCCCGGAGGTTGACCGGGGCCGGGGCGACTCGGGTCCGGCTCTATTTTTTTTTTGTTTTCTTGATTATTTTATCCCCTACCCCCCCCCATCCCCCCCAATCCCACAAACCCATCTAAAACACCCATTCCAGCCCATTTAAACACAGCCAAAGCCCTAAACAAAAAAAAAACAAAAAAAAAAATTGAAAAGGCCCGAACCGGGCCCAGAACCGGCCGGGCCGGGCTGGTTCTCGAGCCGGGCCGGTTCTCGGGCCGGGCCGGGTGGCCCGAACCGGGTCCAAGCCTACTCCTTTCTCTGCATTCACTTCGTTCATTGCTCTACCACATGCATCCTTCGGACCTTCGGTTCGCAGATGGTCGTCTCCCACCCTAAGTTTCAATCCTCCTCCGACCTCAACTGTTGAGGCGCCCCCGCCACAGAGAATTTGTGCGCAACCCTGGACGTTGAAATCACATCTCTGTCTGATTCTGTTTAATTCCCCATGTGCGCAGATGGGGTTTGAACCCCATTGTGAAGAAGATGTTCCCCCTGGTAGGGGACACATGGCGATTGAAGATTTAAAGAACTAATTGGTCAATTGGTTTTATAGATGTCTCCATCTCCGGCCATGCTTGTAATCTTGGTGTTACATGAGAACTTACATTTTGATTGGTGTTAAGTTACATTTCAATATGGCTTAGGTTACATTTCCTTAAACCCAACTTACATTACAATTTGTATCAAGTTGCACGTGATTTATATTTTGACCTACCTCAACAAATTGCATTAAAATTAACGTGATTTACATCTAACTTACCCAAAGTTATACCTGAAGTTACATTTCCCAAGTTACATATGACATGTTTCCGTGTTACATTTCATTTTGAGCAGTTTACATTTCAATGAGTTACATTTGAATGAGTGTAATTTACATTTTCATTAATTTAAAGTTACATATTAATTCAATTCACACGATTTACATTTCATATAATTGTGTGAGGGTGGGAGCGGGATGCTCACCTTGCACCGCTCCCACGGTATAACATTTGGTTTATAATTACTCATTCACAAAAACACCTTCAAGAACAAATTAAACTACTGAAAAAATAAATAAAATGATTAGAACTCTTGTACGTAATATAATTTACATATCACGACAACACTCGCATAATCAATCGTACTATTGAGACACACGATTTTCAAATTATTAAATTTATTCTCAAAAGGAGTTCTGTGCATTATTAATCATGTCACGGATAAATTTAACACATTTATTAAATCATAAAGGGTTAATGTGAAAATTTTATATAACACAGAGATTGATGCATTAAATCGAGAAAAATAGTGTATATAGCAGAGAGAAAATATATAGGGACAAATAGTGTATATAGAAGATGGGAAACAGATAAGAACAAATTGTGTATATGATAAATGATAAGGTTTATTTGTGGATTTTGTACTACTCAAAACAGAAAAATAAAAGACGAGTAAAAGACGAGTAAAAATGACTTAGAAGTAAAATACAAATCAAATCTAAGGAACCTTTAATGATTCTAAAATAGGGGTCAGCAAATAACCGATTAAACTGACTTGACCGAAAATCGATGACCGGACCGACCAAAAAAATCGGTTTTCGGTCGGTTTTCAGTTATCATAAATTAAAAAGAATCGATTATTCAGTTATTCGGTTTTTATTCGGTTATATTTATCGGTTATCGGTCGGTCACCGATAACCGTCCAAAATATAAAAGTATATAAACTCCATAGTAATATAATACTCCGCATATGAAGTCCAACCCACACTTATTGAAGTCCACCTACGAAACCCAATAGTCGAATGCTCTGGAGCCCTCAACCCCTGACCTTGTTAGATGAGTTTGCTGGTTTGGGGTTAAATGTTTAAGAAATTAATAGCTTAATTATTTGCTAATATGTCGTTTTTTATTTTGTTTCCAGATTGAAAAAGATATATGTGGATGATGCATCATGCGTGCATATGTAGTGTGCTTTGTATGATTATTTACATTTAAATAAGTTAAATCCATTTGGTATTTATTATTGTATTTATTAATGTGTTGTCTACAACTTTCATAATTTTGGAAATTATATGCTTTTGAAATAGGGTCGGTTATGGTCGGTTATTTGGTTGCTGACCGAAACCGAATGAAATTTTTCGGTCGGTTTTTGTAATGTTGTCGGTCGGTTTTCCGTCGGTTATGAGAGTAAAAAATATTTGTCGGTTATTCGATTATCGGTCGGTTATTTGACCGACCGACCGAATGCTCACCCCTAGTCTGAAATTCTAGAGAGAAGACACAATAGAAATATAACAGACTGGTGAAAAATAAATTGAGTAAAATACATAAATTGTCCTTAAACTATCATCACCATATCATTTTGGTCCTTCAACTAATAAATCTATCACCTTAGTCCCTATTCTATTTAATGCATCTTAATTTGGTCCTTCTGTTAGTTTTGGCAGTTTCCATTCACGTGGTCAAACATACACTATTTTTTAAATTATTATAAGACCCATCTTTAACTAAAAAATTTCCTTTTTGCCAAAAAAAACTGAATAATTCCCTTGTTGATAAATATTAACCTTAATCAAACATATTTTTAAATATTAATATGTTGCCCTTACTTAACAACCAATTGCTCAAATATATATATTACGTAGTATTAAATACTACTCCATATGTATTAAAACGTTTTTGTTAAGAATACTCAGCTGGGTAATAATTTTAAATTTTAATAATAACAATTATAATAATTGTTATGTTATTAATATTATTAATAATAATAGTAATAATAATATAATTAATAATAACTACAATCCTTAATTTTTATCAAATTTGATTCTGGTTTTTTCAACTCTGTAATGCTTTTAATTTAGTTTCTGAATATGTAATTTTTTTCTAAAAATAATATGAGTGCGGACAAGAGTCTGTTTGATTTATCGTTGATCAAACATCGTAAATCGTAAAGTGCCTTACAATTCGATACGGAGGGAGTAGTACATAATTTTTTTGTTAAATGACTCTAGTAGTAGTAAGAAGTGGGTTTGTATCATTTTCATTAAAAACAAAGTGATTTGTATAAGCTCTCACTTTCTATTTAATGAAAATTATACAAACCAACTTCTTACTACTACTAGAGTCATTTAACAAAAAAAAATGTACTACTCCCTCCGTATCGAATTGTAAGGCACTTTACGATGTACGATGTTTGATCGACGATAAATCAAACAGACCCTTGTCCGCACTCAAATTATTTTTAGAAAAAAAAAAGAATTACATATTCAGAAACTAAATTAAAAGCATTACAGAGTCGCATAAAAAAAGAATCAAATTTAATAAAAATTAAGGATTGTAGTTATTATTAGTTATATTATTATTATTATTAACATAACAATTATAATAATTATTATTATTAAAATTATTACCCAGCTGAGTATTCTTAACAAAAACATTTTAATACATATGGAGTAGTATTTAATACTACGTAATATATTTGAGTAATTGGTTGTTGAGTAAGGGAAGCATATTAATATTTAAAAATATGTTTGATTAAGGTTAATATTTATCAACAAGGGTATTATTCTGTTTTTTGGCAAAAAGGAAATTATTTAGTTAAAGATGGGTCTTATAACAATTCATAAAATATTGCATGTTTGACCACGTGAATGTAAACGGCCAAAACTAACAGAAGGACCAAATTAAGATGCATTAAATAGAATAAATAGAATAGGGACTAAAGTGATATATTTATTAGTTGAAGGACCAAAATGATATGGTGATGATAGTTTGAGGACCATTTATGCATTTTAGAAGTAAAAGTTTTTAAAGACATTTCAAATATGGCTATTAGTACTAAATTACATTCTATTTAGATAATGATGATGATGATGATGATGACGATGATGATGATGATGATGATGATGACGACGACGATGATGACGATGATGGTAAAATTGTGTCGTTTAGATTATCAACAAACGAAAATCTGTATGTAATGATCTATGGGTATGGTTGGATCTATGGGAACAGGTTTGGTTGTATCAAGCCCACAACATGGTTATCGATTCGTGTTGTTCTTTCAGGGGTACTGTCTCAAAGTCTCACCATAGGGTTACAATCGTAGTTGTTGGAGTTTCAGTTGGTGTCAGTTTTATTTTCCTTTTGCTTGATGTAATGATCCTGAATCTGTTGATATGAATAGAGGCCTGTTTTGATGATAAAAAAAACAAACGAAAATCTTTATCATAAAAAACTAAAATTTTATCATAAAACGATCATATATGACAAACTGAGAGCCTGTTTGGTAGGACGAAAATCGGCTGATTTGGCTGATTCTGTTGAAATTTATGAAGTTCTGGCTGAAGTGGCTGCATTGGCTGATTATGTTTATTTAAGAAAAAATTATTTTTAAAATATATTGATTAATAAAATAAAGAAAAAATTATATGTAAAAATAGCTAAAATGGTCTTCTACAGTAACTTCAGTCAATACAACCAGAAAAGTAACTACAATCTTACTTTTTTTGCTTATTACACAATTCAACGTGCGAAAACAAAAATTACGTATATGGTGAAAAAGTTGGCTGATAAGTGTGATAAGCCGAAAAATATGGTTGTCAAACGGCCAAGGAGTCCAAAACCATGACACCATATCCAGTTTGCGTCAAAATTGAATATGGATTCTAGCTAGAGGGTCCCACTTGTGGAGAGAAGGAAGTATGAGTAGTTAAATACTTAAATTTGAGGGAAATGAAAGAAGGAATTGAAACTTCGGAGAAAAAAATGGAGGGAGATAATGAATTGGAATTGATTGATGAATGCAATGAATATTAATATATAAACAATTTATTTAAGGGAAAAGTAGCGATTCAGCCATCTAACTAACTTAAAGAGTGCAAACACCCCTTATATAGGAAGCTCTGTCCGGCCATCACTATTTGGGGCGGTTCCCGGTGGAATTTTTTGATGAAAGTTTTTTACAATCTTCTTCATTAAGTCTAGTTTACCCATACCAAATTTCAGCTAAAAATTCAATCGGGAAGGCAGTCAAATAAATTTTTGAAGATAATTGCGCAGTTAAACAACGCAGTATATTTCAGAAAATCATTTGACTGCCTTCCCAGAATCCCGGTTGAATTTTTAGCTGACATTTGGTATAAGTAAACTAGACTTAATGAAGAATATGTTCAAAAAAAATCATCAAAAATTCCACCGGGAACCGCCCCAAATGGTGACGGCCAGACAGAGTTTCCTATAAAAGGGGTGGATTGCACTTTTTAATGTTTGTCTCACTAGTGTGACATGATTGGAAAGTGAAATCAGTGAATATGTCACAAATCAAATCATATGATATACGGAGTATTCTCTCTATCCTTTAAAACTTTATCGTCTTTCTTTTTTTTATCTCACTAACTCTACCACCTCCCCTTTTAAATAAATAATTTATGATTTTTTTCATTGTCTCTCCTCTTCACAAATTTTAACCATACGATTTTTACTTTATTAATTCATGTGCCGGTCAAACTTGATCAAATTTTAAGGGATCGAAGGATAATAATTTAAAATTATGCCAAACTTTGATATAAGCAAGCATTTGATAGTTGGAAAATAATATCTCCTCAAACAAGCATATACCCCTTTAATTTGTTGCCATTCAATTCATATGTCAGTATTATTATCAATCTTTCAAAACATTTTAAGTGCTAACTTCCTCTGTGAGAATTGAGTAGTTGGCTTTTGAAATGTTCTATGTGCACTAACAATGTTCTTTACTTAATAGGGTGGTTGGAGTCTCCTGTATATATGTGGATATTTGTAGGAGAACTTCTAGGGGAGTATACAATAGTAGGCTATAAAACAAGTTTATCAATTGAACTTAGATTAATTAGATATTTTAATCTTTTGAACTTTTGTATATGAATGATATCATGTGAAAAAATAGCATCTTTGTTTGTTTATTTGTTTGTTTGTTAACCATTATATTTTAAGGAATATAAACAAATGTTCCTATTTTTGTATCATACGTAGTAGTTAAGATTGCAAGTTTCATTCTGTTCACTTTTTATCATGTTGTTGATATGCAACATGTGTTGGAAAATGGTCTGTGGTTTGAACAGAATATGTTGACCCTTACGGCAGTTATACCGGGGAAATACCCCTTAAAATCCCTCTAAATGAGGTTGTTTTTTGGGTCCAGATACATAATGTACCATATGGATACATGACTTGGAGGATTGAGGATTTTATTGAGAAATTTATCAGTTTTGGTGAGAGTCAATTTGAAGGATCTTGGGAAGCCTATATGAAGATCAGAGTCTGTATGGAGGTAGGGAAACATCTAAAGGTGGGTACAACTCTTAGGAAAGGGAAAAGAGTTGGACACCACGTGGGCTTTAAATATGAAAAACTACCTAGTTTTTGCTTTGTATGTGGTGTTATTGGCCATGCTGACAGGTTTTGCCCTTTGACATATGAATGTGAAAATACAGTGTTGGAGAAATCATATGGGTGGGACTCCAAGTAGGGGGGACCCCGCTCTGTAGGGGGTAACAACTGATTGGTTCCAGAGGGGTCTTCATCAACAGGTATGGGCTCAAAGCAGCAAGAAAATAAGCAGGGGAGAGAGGGTGAAATGGTGGACAAACGGAGGCAGGAAGATAGAATTGGGTCATCACTGTGGCTCATCCCAGTAAGAATAAGTCCTTGGGCATGTTAGAGCAGCTAGTACGAAGCAAAAACATAAGCGCATGAGGTTGTGGGAGGAACAGGGGCACGGGGATCCGAGAGGTGATGGAATGGCTCTGGAAAAGCCAAAAAACATGGAAGAGGCGGGTCGTGGAAAGGAAAGACAAGGGGAACTCCTCATGGTGTTGGGGGTGTAGCTGAAGTTTAATAATGTTATTTTTATTGTTGTTTTTTACTTTGATCAGACTATTTTTGTTGTTGTGTTTGATTTTTCTTTCAGCCCGACTCTTGCATTAGAATGAGGTGATGAGAGGTCTGTTTTGACCGTCTTTGACCCATTACAGGATCAACGAGTCGTATTGCTTCTGGAAAGTTATGGACTATAAATCAAGTTCGAGGGATGGCAGTTGGGAATGGTCCTTTTATCTGTTTGTCCCCCCTATCTGAATGTTGTGATATCAATTTAAGCCATCTTCTTTAAAAAAGGATTATTACAAGTGTATTGTTTAAGATAGAGATGGTTTAAGGATTCTTTATTTTATAACTAAAATAAAGATTGTTTACAAAAATACGACTAGTGACTAGAGTAGTAATGAAATCATAGTAACTTATATTCATTTTATAAACTTAAGTTACCATAACACTACATTGTAGTAACTATTGATCATATGTTTGTAACTAAATTTTATTTTAGTAATATTTTCGAAAGAACTCATTTGTTTAATATTAATCTCATAGTTTTTAGTTTCAACATTGTATTTTTTATTTATGCTTTTAATTTGAAATATACAACGTAAACAATAGACTTTTAAAGGGTATGTAAATTTCATGTTTTTCACAAGTAGTTTTAAGTAGCTTTTGAGAAGATGTTTGTTACTTCTAACATTAATTAGTAAAACTAATTTATTATACTATGACTATCCAAATGGTTAACTTTTATTAAAAGTAACAATTTTATTTTTCTTTCAAAAAAAATTCAATTATAAAAAATTACTCCGTACTAAAAAGTACGGAGTATTGTTTAACTATTTGGGAACACGACTCATGAACCTAATTTGAATTGTGGCCGTGCTAAGCATGAGTCGTTTTTTCTCTCTAGGGTTGCCCCAAGGCAAGTCGCTAGTTGTAGGGTTGATTATGATTGTTGGTTAGAAATTGTTTTTGTCAAGGTTGGTCTTTTTTAGTTTGTTGTAACGATCCTTTCCCTGATGGTTTTAATATAAGAGTTGAATTTGATGATAATAAAAAAAAAACTATTTGGTCAATTGTGCCAAGAGATCATTTTTTGTATCATGTCTTTCTCAAGCAAGGATTAAGAAAGCGGATGTTGTGGTAGAAGTGTGACGGTCAACAATATCACTTATTCATATCATATGACATGAATCGAAATATGAATGTCTTTTTATCTTTTTTAGTTTACATATATTCTTTTTAATATTTGTATCTTACCATCTTTATCATTATTTTATATTTATCTTTTTTCTGATCTTTTTTTATGTTACTTTATTTTTTCTTTCTTATATGTTTTTTTTCTTTTTTCTCTGATATCATGAATATATTCATGTTAGTCAATCTCGAAATCATTTAGTGTCAAGGCTTGGAGGCAAATTTTATTATACAACCGGCTATACCTTGGGAGTAGTACAACCGGGTATTTTTGAAATTAAACTATGAAACAATGGCACTGTTATTAGTCCCTGACTTTCTAATTCCAAAAACATGTCAACTTTTTGATTTCCCCAAAAAGTAACCGGCTCTTCCGCGTGAGAACGAAAAATCGCAGATCTACGCACACTGTCCGTCTATCGGCTCAACCATTTCCTAGCTTCTACTCCGGCGGCTCCCTAGCCATATCTTCTCTCCTTCTTCTCCACCAATCAGCCTTGCACCACCAGCCGTCAAGTCATTTTTCTTTTCCGCAGTCAAGTCATCTTTCTTCTCCGTAGCTCCTCAGTCGTCCATGGCACCTCCGTCGGCCATAGCACTTCCGTAGTCGCCCATCTCACCGCCACAGTCCGCCACTGCCTCCATATCGTACCGGCTCCATCTTCAATCGCCGCCTCCGTTGGAATCTGACGCCCACGGAGTCGATTCGTTGTAGGGTTGATTATGATTCGTTTTTTCTCTCTAGGGTTGCCCCAAGGCAAGTCGCTAGTTGTAGGGTTGATTATGATTGTTGGTTAGCCTCACTTCCGACGCCCACGGAGTCGGGATTTCAGATCTAATTTTCAGATCTGGGTTTGTTTTGAGGCCGGAAGCTATGGTGTGGTTTGTGTGGGTAGGATGCTCTGTGACTCAGGTGCAGTGGGGCTGGGGCGGCCGTTTCGACGGTCAAGCACGGTGGTGCGGCGGTGATTAGCCAGTGCTGAAGGTTGGGGCTAAGGTTGGGGTTTGACGGCTGGCTGTGGAGATGGTGGCAGGTGTGTGTGGTGGGGATTGGGCGACGCTGGAGTGGGTTAGGCTGTGGCAGTAGACTGTGGAGGGAAGAAGGGGAGGGGGCTAGGTTGGGGTAGGGGCATGGGCTGTTTCAACGACAAGGGTGGTGTCTTGTGGTGTCGATGGAAATTTTCACCGGAGATATCGACGGAAATTTTTTCTGCCCGTCAAAGTGACATGTTTATCCGATAGTGACATGAGAATATTATAGTGACGTTTGTTAAGTGACACGGAAATATTAGAGTGACGTTTGTTAAGTGACTAAAATTGACAGTGACATCATGTTTTCCAAAAATATGACCTTCTTAATCACTTTTTTGTCCTTATAAGAAAATGGTCACTTTTTTGAAAGTTGATTAAAGTTTAGTAATATTCAAGGTAAAACCCCTTAAACTATTCTGTAATTGTCGGCTAAATGAATCCCCCCTCCCTAGTTCCAGTTTTGCCGCACGCTCAAGCCCTTCATCTCCAACTTTCATAATTGAACATCACCGCAAAAAGCAGAGTTCCTCCATTGATGCAGTCTGGGAGCTTGCCCCTCGCACCAAAACACCATGTCGCTCGCATCCTAACAGACGGATCGCTGCTCGCGCCCATGCGAATGGCTCACTTTTCGAACACAGACGGCTAGACGTTCATCTCGCACCCTACGTCCTTGCTCGCTGATTCATCCTAGCCGATGAAACTCACACTACCACCGCATGTCAGGTTGGAGCTCACGACGACCAGATTGGAACTTACTCACATGGTCTTAATGCTAATTAGTAGAGAACACGATACTCAATGAATATGTTTTGATGCTCAATGCGTAGTTCCAAATTTCCAATGATCAATAAAGATGTTTGATCACATAGTCTCAATGCTCAATAGTAAAAAACAAGATACTCAATAAAAATGTTTTGATACTCAATAAATTTTGAAGTTTTTATACCCAATTGCACATAGAGTTGCAATGCTCAATAGAGGATGTTTGATACTTGTAAAAAATATTTTAATGCTCAACTAGCAGAGCTTACGATTTGTATATCAATGCATATTTTAAAAATACAATATTAAATTATATTTACATATTGGAGTTCATAAGAATTGATTATAGATATAACTTAAGAAATTTTTATAAAAAGAAAAAAAAAAGTGAATCAGAATATATGAATTAGAGATCAAGATGCTCAATATGAAACTTCTAATACTCAAATAGAGTATTAAATTGTTTCTCAATTAAAAATTGCGACTTTCACCTAAAATTACAAAAATTAAGTTGTACAATGTACGTCATTCCATCTTGGATGTTGTTGTTTGTAGAATTGTAGTCAACTTAGCCAAAAAATTAAGTTTACGGAACACACTTGGTTTAAGGTTTAAGGAAGCATTAGATTCTATTTTCAAATGAAAACGGCAGGCGAAGGTCGAATATACTCCGTATTAGGGGTATGAATGAGCCAAATCGCTCGCGAGCTGCTCGTGGATCACTCGGGAAAAGCTCGACTCGAGTTCGGTCATATTAAGCTCGACTCGAGTTCGGCTCGACTTGAATAGTTAACAAGCTCAATTCAAGCCTATTTATTTTAGGCTCGTGGCTCGCGAGCCGGTTCGCGAGCTTTTGTGTCATATTTTATACTCCATTCGTCCCGCTATTAACTTTCTGCTTTCCTTTTTGGACTGTCCCAAAATCATCTTCTCATTTCCCTAAATGGAAAGTTATCCTACATCAAAACAGTGTCAAACAGCGCAAAACAGTGTCAAACAGTGTCAAACAATGTCTAAACAGTGCCAAACAGTAAAGTCAAATTTATTTCCTAAATATGTGTGTAGGTCAAAGTAGGAAGTTAATAGCGGGACGGAGAGAGTATATAATAAATATATATGTAATAATTATATATATGCTTTTTTTGAAATATATATTCTAATTTAGGACTATTCCATTTTCAACACTTATCCACGGAGTATATTATAATAGTAATAATTTCAAAAATAATACCCCGTAACATGTGTGTAGTATTATTTTAACCATAATATGTAATAATTATAATATGTACTCTTAATATTTATTGACAGTAAAATAAAGAATAAAAAAGTTAGTAAATGATAGATAAGCTAAAAATGAAAATGAATAAGTACATATATAATATTTTTAGCTCAAGTTCCAGCATCTTATTCGAGTTCAAACTTATAAAAATTACTCCCTCCGTCCCAGGGAGAAGTTCTCACTTTCCTTTTTTAGTAGTCCCAACAAAAAGTTCCCATTTCCCTAAATGGAAAGTTATCCTACATCAAAACAGTGTCAAACAGTGCAAAACAGTGCCAAACAGTGTCGAAACAGTGCCAAATAGTGTCGAAACAGTGCCAAACAGTAAAATTTACCCCTCAGTAACTTTATTTCCTAAATATGTGTGAAAGTCAACCCGGGAACTTCTCCCTGAGACGGAGGGAGTAATTAACAAAATTTGACCCGAGTACGAATCAAGCTTGACCGGAGTTCGAGTCGAGCTCGACTCGAAATCGAACTCGAATTATTTAATTCGTCCAAACTCGAGATCCAGCTAGAGCTCGAGCTACTGAATTTCTATCAAGCTCAAGCTAAAGCTCGAGCTCGTTTACACTCGTACTCCGTAAGTCTGTATGAGTGAACTAACAGGCTAGCTTCTTCGTCCGTTTCTTCATCAACATCCGCTGTCGATGTCCTGAAACAGAATCAGATTCCGATCCGCCCATCTTCTCGAGTGTCAATCATTTAATTGTTATCGAAAGAATTAGTATCCGGTAAAAACGACTGAAGATAGAACCCCCAAATTATTCTGCTAAAGCTGTCAGTTTTTTTTCTCCAATGAATTCCTCTTCCAATCTGCATTTTCTTGTCGATATTCATGCCAGCGCCAGACACATCGGCGGCCCGTGCCATTTGTATGTCTAAAAGTTGTTATTACGTATTTTCAGTCATGGATTTTTTTTATGAAAGAGCATGTGTATTACAATGGTAGACTGTTGCGTGCGTTGAAGGGTTGATTGAGTTCTTATTCTTTTCCTAACAAAAAGGATTGCTTTTGCGTACATTAGTTTTCTTTCTGTTAGAACTTCATTATACTGTGAGGTTACCTGTTATTTTTCTGGGAAGTCTTGCCGGCTGATATGGCTGAGGGGTTGGGTATGAAATTTCACATATTGTTTTGTCTTGCAAGATTTGATTTTTTGATGTTTTTGCTTTGATTATTGTTGGGAAATGATAGTTTTGAATCCATCCCGTTAAGTCCTTGGTTTGTAGAGATTCTCTTTGGATATATTATACTCGTTGCCTTGTTGGTGTTCATCATGAAGAAGATTTTCTTACAATGTTTCACCCGAGGTCATGTTTGTATACATCAGCCATATTTTGTATATCAAATATTAACTTTACCCCCCTTTTTCATATAGTCTTCATTAAGAAAATATAATATACGGAGTAAATATTTTCTGTAATTTGACAAGGTCAGCATTTCAACTAGAATTCAATTACTGCAGCGCAGCCTAGTTGTATATAATTCCAAATTCACACCAACCAAACAGGGTCTTCTACATATGTTTTTTTTAGAAGAGAAGCACTTGAACATGTATACTGTATAATGAGTATTAATGATGTATGTTGATGACATTCTACAGGGATACCAGGTGATGGAAGATGTTTGTTCCGTTCCGTGGTTCATGGGGCTTGTCTAAGAGAAGGACAGCCATCTCCAGGCGAAAGCTATGGAAGACAACTTGCTGATGAGCTCAGAGCAAAAGTAAGGAAATTACTTTATTATTCTGTAGGAGTAACTTTTTGTGAAAACGGGAATCCCCACAGTTAACTAGGGTAAACCCCTCTTTTGTGTGTATGTATATAGCTTGCAAATTCCAACATTTGTTGAACAATTTGTCACGGCTAAATATAAACAGTAAATTAATAAAAAAGAGTTTTGGCTACTCCTAACATCTTCAGGATTGAATCTTAATTGGTATCAGAGCATCCATAATCTGAGCCCCATGGTGAAAAACATTTGCACCATGGCCACTGTCCAAATGATCTGTCTTGCAGTGAGATGTTGAATGATTTATCCCAATCGGTTTACTCTTATCATGTTGATATGTGCCATTATTTCATTAGTCACTTGCATTTTATTTCTTGAGGACAACCGGAAAACCAACATTTCATTTTCCAGGTCGCAGAGGAGTTTATCAAGAGGCGAGCAGATTCTGAATGGTATTCTATTTCCACTATTGAGTTCACCAAAAAATGCTATCATCGCCATAAGTATAGATTTATGTTGTCTGTTATCAGGTTCGTGGAAGGAGATTTTGATACATACGTAAGGCAGATAAGACAGCCCCACATATGGGGAGGTGAACCTGAACTCCTCATGTGCTCCCATGTTCTACAGTAGGTGTTTTTTAATTGTCAAGTTAAATGCTTTATTCTCAGTCCACTGGCTGTTACCATATATACACATCATGAATAACTGAGAACCTTCTGGCGACAAACTAGACAAGCATCATTTCGAGCACAGGCTGATACTTGTCTTTGGGTTAAAACGATTCTTTTCTCCTTACACCAACCCGTATGCTTAGATATACTCTCTATGTTCTAGGATTGTCTTCCACTTTTCTTTTTTATACCCTCTAAATTATCTCATATTTCCTTTTAATAAAGGAATTGTGTGGTGTCTAAATCAAACGATTCTTCAATTTTAATGAGCTTGTCAAGATCCCAATCTCTTTTGGGACTCAGGCTTGATTGTTGTTGTAATGAGCTTGTCAAGTCAAAGTGGACAGTAATATTAATCGGACCCTGTGAGGAAGTACTCTCTTTTCTCCCATTTATTTTATACCTTATCATGCTGAACTTTCAGTCAGACAAGCAACACCATTTTGTCTTCAATAGTTCAATAGCAAACTTATGATATTGGGCTTCATCCAACTAGCATACACGGGGGGTTTAATTGTTGCTTGTTGGATCATCCACTCAAGATCAGATGTCTGTGGTCGAGTCAACAACAGTACTTTTCGGCTTTTTGCATGTCTGCATTACTCCTTGAATGCATTAAAATGTAAGTCTGCATTACTCCTTGAATGCATTTGGTCCGTTTTTGACGATCAAGTTTTCCGTACAGTTCCGTACAGATTGGGCCGTACGGTTTACTAATTTTTTTAGGAAACGCGTGTCCTACTTTAATTAGGAGTTATGTTTTACTCTCTATAAATACAACTTCTCTCCCTTGTAATCCCTTGGGATCCGAAAATAGCAATAATATTTCTGGCTTGGTAGCGCCCCCAGACGTAGTCATTCGTGGCGAACTGGGTTACCAAATTTCGTGTGTTCTTTTATTGTTCTTCGTGTGCGTGAGTTTTATTCCTAACATAAAAGCCAAATACCTTTGAGTTTGAGTTGAAATTTTTTGTAGGGCTCCTATCACAGTGTTCATGCGAGATACGAAGACGAATCGCCTTAAAGTCATAGTAGAATATGGTCAAGAGTATGGTGGGACTGAAAACCCTATTTGTGTACTATACAATGGCTATGGACACTATGATGCCCTCCAAAACCCTACTTTCCAAGTCCCAAAAACGTATGTAGTATCTTCATCTCCCACATACTTTGATTGAAATCAATGTTTGCTGACCAATTAGACAATTTGATTTTGTCAAATTGAACTTAAACTACTCACCCTTGATGTTTTCTATAAAAGTTCGTAAAAGTGTTCCCCTCTCCCTAATCTTTTTTCCTGGTCAATTGCAGGCTCAATGCGAAAAGATTTTACCAATAACACATCTTAGGGGAGCCCATGGAAGCCAGGAGATTACTTTCCATTAAATTACTTTTGTGATAACTTTAACTTTATAACAGTGTTGTGTTATTGTGTAATATACTAATATCTTCAAAACGATAAAACAACAATAAGAAATGAAAACTTATGTACATATTTACTCAATCATTCCCCAATTCTCATTGATCATCACATCTCCATAACTCTTGAAGTAGCTGATACCTTATAAGGTTAGGACTACCCTTTACCTTCGGAGTCCAGTTGAAACTAGTTGAAGTAGGACACCCTACTACGATGGAAGCCAGAGGCGAGTCCACCTCCTCCAGCTCATCGTCACTTGTGCATGATTTTTTGAGGACAGATGACCTGCTTCGTGATAAAGGTTGGGTTCCGGAATGTCCCACAAACCTAGTGAGCGAAGCTGCCGTCAGTGATGGGTAGACTGTAGGGGCTGCAGTACATGGAAAGCCAGTGATAGACTCAACAGAAGCATCCGTGTCATCCTTAGGAAATGGAAGACAAATATTATTGACAAAAATCATAAGGCTTAAATATGTTTTTTAGTAAAAATCAAATATAATGTTTTTTTCTCTTTTAGGACCGTCTATGAAATTGTTGTTCATCTCTATAATTCACATTGTTTTCTTTTTAATCCTCCGTCTATTCCCATTTGCAAGAATGGAAATTTGTGATTCACAACCGTTCTTTAACGGGGTTTGACGGGGGAACATGAAAACAACGTAACCTATGTAAATCGACATAAAAACAAATGCTATATTTGTAGTCGTGAAAGACCTATTTAAAGAAATAATAATATTCCTACAAAAGTAAAATAAAGTATGATGAATCTTAGAGAGTGTTTTAACCTCAGAATCAAGCGCCTCGAGTACTTTTTGGGGAACTGGGTTTGGGGAGAACTCATCAGGCATATAAAGACTGAGAATGATCTTGACCAGTGATGGGCTGAATGTGGGACAAACCTTCAAAATTTCAACACTTTCAGATAATCTGAGCACTGATGTGTTAGGCAGTACCATGTTGGGACTATATTAGAGCTGGTAATGTTACTCACTTCTTTTCTTGTCAGTGGATCAGCTAACATTTCAAATGGAATCATCATCAGGTCACTTAAAGCGTTTAGTAGACGGAAAGGCTTGCGAGACTCCTCTGGTTGCCTATCTTCAGTGATGCTGCTATCAGGCAACTCACTATCGTCTTCCGCTTCAAACAAGTCAGACAGCCATCTAGACCAGTTCCCAATCTGCCAGCAAATATTAACTTAATCAAACGATGTTGTGGTCCGTATAAAAAGTTTCAAACTTTAATTTTCAAATAATATCACTCATATAATAATCAAGTGATTACTCGGTAGGGAAACCAAAAAATGAAATTTGAATGCGCATCATATCATACTGAATTAGGGACGGGAAATTGGAAGGAGCACTTCTCCTGTGGCCCTGCCCCATATTTCGTTTGTTTTATACACACTATATATGAAAACATTTTATGCATATTTTAATAAATTTACTGCAGCGACAAAAAAACTTCAGGTAACACTTTAAGTAGAAGTGTGTAATGACAAAAATATCATCAAAGTGATTTCTTTTGAGTAATATCAGTTAAGGGTGAAATTTTATGATTGCCTCCTTTATTATTCATGAAGCAAAAACAAAATCAATTCTCTGTATCAAGTAGAAAGAAGTGGGTGCTCACAGCATTTTTTAATTGTACACCAGCTCCAAAAGTCAGTTTTCCTGCAGGGATAGGGAGGACCTTAGGATTACTAATAGGGTCCGAAACAGGATCCGTTGGCATTTCGTCATTTGATTCACGGAGAATGGCATTGAACATTGCCACATCCAATCTCCTCACTAGCTGTTCCATAACCTACAGAATCACAATGTTAACATCCGTATGAATGGTATGCTGTATAGTTAATTAGTTATTCATCAATTCAATATCAAAGAGAGGAAACAGATATGTTTTTCTTGTGGCGTTTAATAATGCCATGTTAAGTACATCCTGCTTCACAATAACTGTCAAATTTTGGCTGATATTTTTTGCTCCATGATATATGTAGTTTTATAAAATTAACAGAGCATTTGATACTAAATTTCTGTTTTTTCACTTCCTCTCCATCTTCATTCTCATTTAAAGTAATTTCCAATAGTTCAAGATATAATAATGTCATGTTAAGTACTCCCTGCTTCATAATAACTGTTTGGCTGATACTTTTTGTTCCAATATGACTATATGTTGTTTTACAAAATGACAAAATGATTAAAATCAACAGAGCATTTGATACCAATTTTCTGATTTTTCACTTCCTCTCCGTCTTCATTCTCAATTATAGTAATTCTAATATAGTTAAAGATGTACTGCTAATTTAAGTGGTTTAGGTTACTAAGTACTACCTTCCCCCCCCCACCAATAACAAGTAATGTTTGACTAATGTACAACTTTTTACTTTGGTTAGGTACTACCACAAGTCATATAACATATTCATATTTTTTAAATTTTATCAGTTAGTCTAAAGAAATTTATCATATGCAACTCGTTTGTGACTTTTTTTTACAAAATTATACTCCTTATGAAAAAACTAGCTTCTTTTAACCAAAGTGGACTCTTTTTGGACAGAAAAACTTGTTTGAAGCATTGCATTTTTTGGGGGTGGAGTACATTTTTGCAAAATGAACAAGCCTATGATAAAAAAAAACTTGCGAAGTATAAAATTGACACATGACAAGATCTTCTTTTTAACACTTGACATGACTTTTACTCATATGGTGATCACATGGTCTGCATCATTTTCTGAAACACTTCGTAAGATCCTTTGTACTTGTAGCATTTTCTTAATCTCTATGCTTAGTATTTAACTATTTAAACCGATCTGGGCAAGTATGTAACAGTAGTACAGAAACTGTTACAATTGATAATCAAAATCAAGTGATAAATCACACATTATCAACATACCAATTTTGTCAGCATTGGTAAGCAGCCACACTCATGTCCTTCTGCCCGAAGTGGGCACAGCCTTTCACAAGCATCCTCGAAAACATTCTTCCAAAGATCTATTGAGAAACTACTCAATCTACCTCGCTCTTCACCTCCAAACCCAGTCATATTTCCTTTCATAGAATCAGAGGCCTTAGATATGCTGCCTGCTTTTACAACACTTCTTTGCATATGTGGAGTGAATGTCTGGAATGTAACACAACATAAACCACAGCAATGAGCCTTAACCGGAATGACCCATTTGGTAGGTGGAAACTACTTTTCCTTACCCCATTAATCCCAATGTTGGTGAAAATGCAATGTTTAGTGCAACGAAAAAACTCTCCCCTTCCATAGTTTGTTTACGGGACTCAACAACCTCACTAAGCTACCCGGTGGGCATCATTATTTCTTCCGCACTCGGTGGGAAGAAAAGTTGGACTCGGTTATGATGGGACAATATTACCCCCATGCTGCCATGCACCCATGAGATTTTTCAATGGCTTTTTGGTCTTAAACCTCATGATTCCCAGCAATTTCATGCAAACCTACAAAGTAGTGGAATTTAAAAGCCACCGTTCCCTTTTCCCATGTCATTCAAATTCAACTCTTCCTATATTCCTGTCTGCCTACCAAACGTTAAGGAAAAAAATAAAAGGTACAATGAAAATCAAATCATGTTACAACTGTGACATGGGAACTTAACCTGCCACCACACAGACTCAACAATTCGGGAAAAGATCCAAGCTTCGACTTGTTCCAGTGCAAGAATAAATGATTCCATATGTCTCAAGTCAGTATGGTCTTCTGTGGCATCCTTGGTTTCACCTTCAATGCTACACATATGTGGGTTGTTCTTGTCTGCTGTCTCTACGGTAGCCTGGTTAACAATTGCTCTCAACATTATCGTGTTTGATAACCAAAAAGTTAACCTGTAAATAGAATTGTTCAAAGACCAAAACCATAAAGCGTCAATTAATGTGATTTTAGAAGGAGGGATATGTGTGCACCTTGGTACATCATTTCCACATGCTTTAGAGACTATGGTTAAACCCGAAACAGCAGTTCTGATGCCACTTGCCTGTTTCATTTGAGACTTATTCTTGAAAGCATGAAAAATGAATCTGGAAAGGCGACGAGCTGGAGCATGGACCTTGCTTGAAGAACTTGAATGCTCAGCCACTATAGAATAAAGGCTTAGCTCAACCGCACCGATTTCCCTTAGTTCTTCTTCAAGCATCTCAATTCTTGATTTCCATTCATCATTTGTTTGGTAATGAAATTTTGCTTCCTTTTCAGCATGTCCTGTTCTCATTTCTTTCTTTTGGGGGTTCTGAAAACCAACATTTAAGTCATCTTTTGAGATTCTATGTTGTTCTTGTTCAATTTGTAGTTCTTTTACATCCACCCCAGCCCCAAGGCTGTTGATAAGTAAGCTATTAGTGACTTCACTATCAGCATGTCTCTCTTTTGGCTCTAGGGATTCTTGAACACTCACAGTTGCATTATCTAAAGGAAGTTTCTCTTCTTCATGTTTAGGTTCTGGACTAGCCATTAGATCCTTCCTCTCCACAAGACCAGTATGTAATTTTTCAATGAATTCATGCTCAGTCATGCTTCTCTCAGAAATTCTGGGCAAAGGAGTGTCACTGCTAATAGGATTTCCCACATTTGAGGTTGATGCTTCTGATGACAACAATGCTTTACTTTCAGACAGACTATCCAAACCCATAGAAGGAACACTCACAAGTGATTCAGGGACCGGTGCTAATAGTGTATAGGAGTCTATATCGTCTCTTTTGAAGTCATCTCTTTCATAGTCAACTCCATCCTGCACTTTTGACACCATAAAAGTGCCATTCATGATCTGAATTTTGAATCATTTATTAAACAAAATTCTTTTTTTCCTGACATGTACGATGTATCAGGTCATTATGTAATGCAATGCAATTATTACAAAAAATACAAATCTGAAAGGCAGAAAGTATAACGTATTCCTAAAAAAGCAAGTTTATATATTGTACAGAGTAATTCATATATGTTTTTCATAAACATTAATATAAAAGCTACCAATCATAAGTACATACAAGGAATTTTGTGCAAGAAATTATTGACTACCAGGTCACCTGTCAACAAATCATAAATCCCAATAAAAATTTCAAATGCAATGTTTGTGAGGAGCCAACTCATTAGAAAAAGAATTAGAGAAGATTGGTTGAATCAGCTAATTATGAAAAAATAGTACCACACTACTACCTCCCTCTGTAATTGATAGTCCCATATTTCCCTTTTGGGTATCCCAAATCAATAGTACCTGCACGGTTTTGTATGTTAAAATGTCCATTTTAACCTTAACTTTATGCATAATTCAAACCTTTTAGTTGGGTAAGTTTGCCCTACTTTGTTAAACTTTGTGACAAAAATATGAGACTATCAATTTGAGACGGAGGGAGTAGTAAACAAGTTACTCATTTTTACTTAAATGGTTGAAACTGAAGAAAATGAAAATTCTACCTTCATTTACACCCGCAATATTTTGTCTTTCTTTATTTGAATGTGAAAAGAGTTATCACTTTCATTGTTATGAAATAAAATGTGGTTTATATTACTTCTATAAAGCCCGTGTATATTATAAACAAGGCATTTAGATAATTTAGCCCATTCAACCATTTCAACCCCAACTTCTACAACAAATTCACCCATTTTTAGCTCTAGTAAAGGAGCTATTAATATGATCAGGAATGTTTTCATACCTTCTCACGCAGAGAAGATGAAGCCTTTGCAGCCTCCGAGGAAGATAAAGTGGCATCCAGAGAAGAATGTGATAGTGATGATGATACATCATCATCATCCGTGAAATACGCAATCTCACATCGATCATCATTGTCTTCATTCATTGAATCTGCAATGGATACCTGCTCCTCCTTGTCAGCAGAGGACATTCTTTGTAATAAGCTATTCTCCTTATACACAGGCTGTATTGTGATGAACAACCTAGGCTGCTCAGAACTTTTTGAAGCATTTTTGCTGATCAGAGGAACGGAAGTGGTCACGCCTTCCTCAATCCCCCCGAAATCTGCAAGATTCACAGCCGATGTCCCCAGGAGATTCCCTTTACTCGTTTTGTCCTTCCGGTAGGGTCCATATAGGTACAAATTCAAGAAATTGTTTTGGAACTTATCTTGAGCCTTCTTCTCAGGAGTAAGGGTCACTGAGAGTGTGAAAGACTCGTTGAACTCGATGCTTGTGGGTCCTACTTTGGCCAACCGGGACCCGGATTTGCGATCGCCGTTTAGGCAGACGAGCAAAACAGATCGGATGGCTCGAAGGGATGGTGATGGTGGCCATGGGTTCACCTCCTTAACATGGATGCTTAAGTCTAGTTTAACAGGAGCACCCCTTTTGGGCTTTGATCTCAGCCCTAGCACCATAGCTTAAAATCCACTTCAACTGCAACTCCTTGCTGAAAAACCATAAAAAAGACAAGTTTTTAGCCTACTAGTAACTAGTAATTCTAACTTTCTTGGTTGTGAAGAGTAATTAGCAGCACATTGTCTATACCCATAAAAAGACATCAAAACAATCTTCTCTTTTGGGAAAATATAACACATTGATAGAATCTGTTAATATCAATGCCTCTTCTAAGCACCAAAATCACAAAGATACTGTAAAGTTGTTTTCTTTAAAAGCTGCTTACTGGGAATTTAGAGAAATTTAAAGTAGCTGGAGCCTGGAGGGATGAATAAAGCAGAAGCCAGAATGCTATGGAATGCCTCAGTGCTTCAGCATTTCAGAGAGACTTTATTTTTTTGTGTTGATACATTTCAGCTGTTTGGGTATGTTTGTGGACGAAGAAAAGAAAAAAGATGGGATGGAAGACAAATACAGAGTAAAAAAGGGAGGAAAGTTGGAGAAGAAGGTGATGGGTATTGGACGTGTCGAAGTCCAAGTTGTGAATTTGCCAGGTGTTTTCCATAGCCCGCCTTTTTCTCTTAGTCCCTTCCTTCTCTTTTTCCTTTCGGCTGCGGTATGTCGGGCTGTGTTTTTCCTCTTACCAAATTAAGCCTTCGTTAAACTAACGGTCGTCAGCCCGTTGACTATAAATAGGATGTTTTTACTTGACTGTAATTCGTCTCAGATAAAATCAGATCAGACCAAATTTGAATAACTATAAAATACAAAGAAATCAGACAAGACCAGACAATCAAATTACAATCCAAGTAAAAACATCCTTACATATCAATAATGCGTACTACTACCTAAAAGGCTACTTAATACTCTGTTTATCATTTGTTATTACTCCGAGAAAGTTTCCAGCCCAGCTGATTGTGGGGTTACCGTGTCTAGTGGAAGGTCTCGAGTTTGAAACCCGCTAGGCACATAAAGGTTTGAAACTCAATGGAATGAGTTTCAGCTCTGATTACTCCAGACCCGCTCCCCAGACCCCCCCCCCCCCCCCCCCCCCCCGAGTAAAAAAAACTCCGAGAAAGTTTTCAAAATGAGTAAAATAAAATAGTTGCTCCAATATAAGAGAGTGTTTGCAAGAGATTTTTTTTATCATGTGTTTGCAAGAGATTAAAAAAGTGTTTTTCAACTTCTAGCTTAAAAGCGTTGAAATGAGTGTTTTCAAATAACAACTTCTACTTAAATTAAGCATTTAAAAGCTGGAAGCAGGTTGGGAGGTGTTTTAAAGTGTCTTTTACTTTTTCTGTTACACATAAGTCACTTATTTTAGCAAACACTACATACTTTTATTTTTCAAAAACATTCTTTCTCAAACTCTACTAATTTTTACAGTTAAACACTTTCTCTAAAATCACTTCAAAAATCACTTTTTTTAAGTAGAAGCAATCGCAATCGCTCCCTAAGTTTCACTAATTTCTTTTCTAAGCAGGAATCATTAACTATTATTTTGAGAAATTTTTTAACACGAGTAAATAAGTTGTGTTTTGGTAAGAAAACATAACTTGTTTTGAAGTATGCATAAAACTATGAAGTTTAAAATGGACATTTAACATATAAAAGTGTGCGGTACTATTAATTTGGGTCTTTGGGACTATCAATGAAGAGAGGTAGTACTATTATTTTCATTATAAGCTGATTCAGCCAGTGCTCTCTATTTGTTATTCTAATGAGTTGGCATCTCACAAACATTGCATTAGAAATTTTTATTGGGACTCATGAATTATTGACAGGTATCCTGGTAGAGTGGTAGTCAATGATTTATTTAAGTGAACTCAGTAAATTTTTCTCTCATCCTAATTATTAGGCTTTGTTTGTTTTATTGACTTTTTGGCACCGTTTTTAGTTAAAATGAATTCATACATTGTGGATATTTGTATAGTAATGCGAATACAAATTCATATAATCATATACATACACAGGAATAACGAGTGGAGGATTTTTAGGACAGATTCAATAGAGAAGACTCAAATATATCAGAACACACATTTTCCATATCATATCAATTCAGATCAAACTAGACTAGACTTAAACAGATCAGATTAGAGCATACGAAATCAGCAAATTTCAATCGAATTAAAAACATCATAGGGAAATAATTATGCTTACGTGAGCCATGTTGATGTTAAAATAATTATCCTTGCCTTGGTCATGTGTCATTCGTTTATAGGCATGGCAATGGGTCGGGCGGGGCGGGTACTGCAAGACCCAGACCCGCACCGTGACTTGGCGGGGCGGACCCGCACCGTGACTTGGCGGGGCGGGTCCGCCCCGCCCTGTGACCTGCACGGGTCCAAACTTGTTGACCCAAGACCCACCCCATGCGGGGCGGGTCCGCCTAGAACTGTACAAAAACGGGCTCGGGCCGGGCTTTTTATAAATTTTCTGCCCATCATGTGTGGGCGGGCCCGGCCCGGCCCGCAAAAACGGGCCTAATCCCAAGTTCACACCCGCCCGTTAGAGCGGGCCGGGTAGTCCACCGGGCCGCCCGGCCCGGAAAAATTTTAATTTTTAAAAATTATATAATTTTTTTAATACTTTATAAATAGTATTACAACATATAAAAAATTCCTAATACGCTTATAATGTTTTTAGGCCTGTCACCACGTACACAAAAAATATAATGAGAAACTATATCTAAAATTTAAAATTCAAGCACAAAGTATTATCTTTAAATACTAAAATATACTACATACTATGTGTATTATATTGGTTGGACTAGTTGTTAAAAACTAAAAACTTAAATTTGAACATAATTAACTATAAATATGTATAAAGATACTTGCACAAAAAATATAATGAGAAACTATAGCTAAAATTTAAAAATTCAAGCACAAAGTATCATCTTTAAGTACAAAAGTAGATATTATCTTGGTTGGGCTAGTTGTTAAGAACTAAAAACTTAAGAAAATGAGTTGGTCCAGTGGTGTTGAGCATATGTTGACTATGCTAAATTTAAGTATAATTAACTATAAATATGTATAAAGATAAATTAATAAATATAAAAATACATGTGTACATGTAAATAAATAAATAAATAAATAAATTGGTATATATATATATATATATTAAAAGATGTATATATACTAAATGTAGCGGGCCGGGCTTATCGGCCCGAACGGGCCTACACCCTAACCCAAGCCCGCCCGTATGTTATTGCGGGCCGGGCCGGGCCCGACCCGGTGGGTACATATATATGCCCAAGCCTGCCTATTTGTGCGGGCGGGCTGGGCGGGCCGGGCGGGCCGGGCCGGTTTTGTACAGGAATAGGTCCGCCCCACCCCGCCCTGCTGTAACCTAAATAACTAGTATGTATTTTTATTTGTGAGAAATCGTTACCAATTGAATCTACATAAAGTTTATCTCTGAATAATAATTAAAAATTAATATATTAAAGGAAAAATTGAAAATAATAATCCCAATTATTGCCGGTCCGCTGATAATAATCTCAACTATTGATTATTTTTGTATAATCCCAACTATATGAACCGTCCGCCAATAATGGTCCATGACCAGATATTACCTCCTAAAAAATGAATTTTAAATAGAAACTAAGTGTAAAAATTAAAAGTTGAATAAGATGCTAAAAAAATTCATCAAAAAATTCCACCGGGAACCGCCCCAAATGGGGACGGCCGGACAGAGTCTCCTATATAAGGGCTTATTTGACCTTTTTTGGTTAGTACATGGCTTATTTGCCCCTTTTCTCAATTTTTTATGATCTTTCATACGATATCAATATTACATAAGTAAAATAAATAAAAATCAGGCTACAATAGATATTTAGAAAAGAAACACACACACACACAATATTAGTACCATTGGAAATTTCATTTAAAAAAATATTAAATCTCATATATTTTTTTATAAAATTTGATCATACAATGTGATGCCACATGATAGCCAATGGAGGCATGGGGGTGATGGTCACCCTCCTTTGTGAGGGTGAACAAAATCACACTCAAGCGAATCCGCTCCTTTATGAACCCCGAACTTATGCATTATCTGTATTTTAAGAATAATTAGATTGAAAAATCAAAGGAGAAGTCACGGGTTAAATTCTACGTAAAGGCTTGGCCTGAAATCTCACTCTTTTTTTACTTGTGTGTGACTAGATCTCAATTTACATTCTCTCGAATAATTGTTTGCCGATTGTGGGGGGACACTCAAGGATGAAGTATCGTCCTTTTTAAGAAGTATTTTTTAATGGTGATAAATTTGTTTAGTGACTTTTTTTTTCTATGAGAAGCTTAATATATTTCATTATAATAATTTTAAGAATATTATGTTGAACATAAAGGAAAACTTTGGGAGAAGCATTTATAAGAGCATTGAGTTAGCTAGTTATTCTTGTGATTTGGCTTGTCATGTCTAGGGGTGGGGAAAAATACCGAAATTTCGGTATACCGGACTTACCATACCGAAAAATACCGAATTTACCGAAGTGTTTGGTATACCGACACTTTTGGTACGGTATGATACCGTACCGAATTACTTCGGTATGGTATCGGTATATATTTTGGAAATAAACGGTATACCGTTATACTGTCATACCGTAATTCCAAGCCAATAATTTATTTAAAATTATAAAAATAACTAGAAACACAACATTAATTCAAGGATAATGACTTTATATCCATGTTTCTTGAATTATTTATACTTTTTGTTGGAGATCGATGTTATTTCAAATATGTTTATGTTGTTTAAATTATTATTTTAGCAAAATGTGTTGTTATCTTCATATATCATGTGTTGAAGTATCCGTACATATTTATAATATTTTTTTGTTCAAAGTTGAGTAGAACACAAATAAGTTATCATTGGTATTTTATAATTAGGGCCTGTTTGGTAACAGCTGCATTGGCTGGAATGAGTGAAAAGCCTGAAAAGCCTTAATTTGCTGAAGTGGAAGTGTTTGGTAATATGTTAGCTGAAATGGCTGATTGAGTATAAAATTACTATAAAGGGTATTAGTTTATTTGTGTTAAATATATGAGTGTGGATTTCACTAATAAACTAATTTTGTTTGATTAGATAATTATAAGGCTACTTAAACACTGGTCAGGGATTTTTTAATCTCAGCTCTTGGCTTTAGAATGAAGAATGCAACCTGGATTATTTCATCCACTTAAATTGAAAAACAAAATTCTAGATAAATCGAATAATAATCATACAAGACTAAAGATAATAAGCATACGAACAATAAATAACATCAGTTGGTTTAGAAATAATATTTAGCAAAGATTAGGGGAAACAAATCAGAACCGTAGGTCTGCTAATAATTGAAGATGAAGATGAAGGGCAACGCAACATACCTTTAGATGAAATGGAGAAGCCGTTCAAGAAGCCGTCGATCTGGAATGCCAAAACCATGGAGGAGCGGAGCCGAAAGTCATTGATCTGGAAGATAAACCCATGGTGCAGGCCGGAGG